GAACTGTCTGGGTATCGGTCATCGGGTGGTGAGCAATTGCATTGTGCATCACTTGCTTCGTGTATCATTATTATTATTATCATTATTATACTGTTACTATTAGCATTACTATTTTACTTTATTTCAGTTATTAAACTGTTCTTATCTCAACCCAGGAGTGTTTCTCACTCCTACTCCTCCAATTCTCTCCCCCATTCCACTGGGGTAGGGGGAGTGAGCGAGCGGCTGCGTGGTGCTTAGTTGCTGGCTGGGGCTAAACCACGACACATGCCAAAAGGCACCTTATTTTAGACTTTTGAAAAGTTAAAAACTAAAATCTTGAAAATCAACGTAGATTATACTCAGAGGAGATAGGGATTGTTTGGGTTTTTTAAAACAAATTATATGTTTAAATTACCTTCTGGAATACTGGATTTTCATATTGCTTTGCTGTTACAGTATAATTTCAGTGTTGTTCTTTGTCATGAAGAACACAATGATTCCTGCTCTAAAAATATTTCAAATGAGAGTCTATAGCAACATGTCACTTTGGTAGCCTAGAAGAATTATGCAAGCTGAAGAAGGTCAGATGCTAGTTCTTTGTGATTAGAAGTGGGGGGCGAGTGAATAACAAGGTTTTAAATTGGGCATGGGTCTGTTCAGATCACCTGATTACTTAGTTTGATGCCACCATAGGTGTTTGGTACATTTCCAGTGAAGTGAGTTGCATTATTTAGCTGAATATGACTAAACTGTGATGTACTGGGAGAAGCAAATAGTGGTAGGATTGAGAGCCAGTATCTCTATTGGCATATATAATATAATGCAGTTTAGAGAATAAGGTGATCATTGCTCTAAAACAAGTTAAAAAAAAAAAAAAGAAAGTTTAAGTCATGCTGCAGTTGTTGCACAAAACATTCAGCTGTGCGAGAGCAATGCCAGCCTGAACAGCATGTGGCCTTCAAGTGACACCACCACCCAGCCCTCTGGCTGGGCATGCTCCTGTTTTGGGACATATGCAGTGCTGGTGCTGAGCTGACCCACGGGATCGGTCCTGAGAAGTGACAGATGCCACCTGACTGCATTCATTTCTTGTATTACTAGGACTTTGCCAAGTACCCTTAGGTTTTCAAAGTGTTTCACAGCTTTTCACAGGCTGCATGCAGTAAAAATCTGTGTGTATGTAGCGAATGGATTTTTTTTTTTTTTTTGATCTAACTTTTTGAAACAAATTTTACCTCTGTAGTTACTCTTGAATGATACAAGCGTATTTGGCTGCAAATTGGGTCAGATCTTTCCAACTAACTGCTTTCTTCCCTCTCTCCTCCAAAATGGAGTAGGCGATTCTTTTTCTATTACGTGTATATATTGATATAAATTTCATACTTGTGGCAAAGAATGGCTTAGATACTACATGCAGTAAATTTTCAGGTATTCTCCTAAATTTTAGGGTTCTGGGTTATATAGATCTGACAGCTATCTTACAAGCATCAAAATAACATATAAATTATTCTCCCTGCAAGTTATATTAACATTATTTGCAAAATTTGGTTGGGAAACTTACTTTTATTTGCAGCTGAATAACTCAATCATACCTCTACTGCCAGCCAGGAAGATGAGTGCAAAACTGGTGTGAAGATAATCTGAACCTTACTTTCCATCAAAGAAAAGTAATTGGGCAGAGATGACTCATTAATTGCACCCAAAACCATGAGATGTACAGTAAAATTCTGTTCTCCATCTTATCAGGCAGTATTGCACTTCTGCCTTCTTCAGGGAGCAGCCTTCCCCATCTCTGGGACACTCCTGTCTCACGTTGGAAGCCTTTAAATCTCTCAGTTGGGATTTAGGTCCTTCACCTCATTCATCTAATCTGGGCCAGCAGCCTGACCAAGTGGGACCTGCTGCCTTCTGTTTCCTAAAAGGATCCACGTGCTCATGCACTGTGTAACTTCTTTTTACCATTCAGTAAGGCTTGTATGTCAGAAGCTCTGACAGTATCCACGTGCTTTTTAGGAATAACAGCTCAGTCAGGAGTCCCAAGTTCTAAAACGGATGTAAAGAGGAAGTTTACCTCAATTTGGATGGTTTGGATAAACTTCTGTGTGTCAATAAGTATGTTAATAGGGAGCCAGAGTACCATATTTGCTTTTATGTTTATATTATGCTGAATTTTATTGGTTTAAGACTGTTTAAACTTTACCATAAGCAAAAGAAAAATGTTGATGGTTTTTATTTGTTTTCACACCATTAAGCTTCATGCCACAGAAAGCAATGTTAAGTTTAAATACGCCTTTCTGTAATCTTGAGAAATTGTGTCTGTGCTGTCATGGCAGGATGAAATAGAATTAATGCAAGAAGTCTGACCTTCAGCAGATGCTAGTCCCTGGGACTTCAGTAGGTGTTTGGACTTCACTTCAGTTGTCTGCAGATGTCCATGAAGCAAAGTTCCAAACTGCTGGTTATCGAGTTTCTTTAAAAAATTATTAGCCTGAAAACCATAGGCATTTGACTTTGATAGTATTGCTTCCATTACTGCCAAAGTAATGGGAAAGATAAACACTGTCTCTGTCACATACATACTCATGAATTCTGATGATAGTCAAGACCATAAGTATAACTAGAAATACTGTTATATGTCTTTGTTTTCCACAGCTATTGAAATAAAGTAATAAAAATAGTTGCATTGCAGTGTTTAGTAAGATAAAGGATACTACTGTCTCAAGAGATCTTGTAAATGCTGACATGCTGTCACAACAGATCAGTCTTATTGAGGATGTTTTGAAAGGTTATAACTGGACTTTGTTTTTGAGGCTACGCACTGCCAGGCTTCCCACCCCCCGTGCTTCCTTTAAAATTTTCTTT